TGTTGATTTTTTAATAAATTGCGAGTAATATCATGGAGTATTTTACTATAATAACTTACACTTGGAATGTATATGAGAAATATTTTGTACTTTGTGCTGTTAATTAGTTTATTTGGATCGTTTAATTCATTTGCTGTCGAAATACAAAAAACTGAAAATCAAAAAGTAGATGATATTTTCGACGAAGAAGATTATAGATCCATACTTGCTAAGTGGCACGACCTAGAAATTTTAGATGAAGAAAACATAGAAACAGATGAAAGCGTTGAAAAGGCTACTAATGAAAACAATAAAGAACATGATAAGCCCTCATTACCTAAATTGCCAAATCTAAAAATTTTAGATAAAGAAGACATAGAAACAGATGAAAGCGTTGAAAAGGCTACTAATGAAAACAATAAAGAACATGACAAGTACTCGTTACCTGAGTTGCTGGATCTAAAAACTTTAGGTGAAGAAACTTTAGATAAGATCGATAGACATCTTACAAACCCTATTGATGATGAAAAATCTTTAGAAGAAAAACAAGAGCGTGATACTCAAAAAAGCACAGATCAAATAAAATTGCCTTCAGAAATTGATCTGAGTAAAAAACCTAATGAAGCATCACCACCAGCACAACAAATTATTCAAGAGTTGCCAAAAAAACAAAATTCTGACCCTTCTAATACTGATAAGAATGTAGCCAATCTACAAAAAGATTCTCAACTTGATCAAAAAAAAGAAAGTGAACTTGCAGTGGATAAAATGCCACAAAACAAAGAAAATACCTATAAAATAGACAATCAAAAAAAGAATACACAAAGACTTGAAAAGCCTATAGTTGCAAAACCTAAAGAAGAAAATGAACGTAAAAATCTGCAACAATGGTCAGAATTAAAAAGAGATCCAATGGATGGATGGACTCACAAAAATTCACAAAGTAAATTAATATATAAACGGCAATATGATAGTCTGAATGAACATTTGCCAACATCTGTATTTGTTCATGATTATAGCAAACAGCTCTTTTACTGTATTAAAAAGAACAATTTATCCTGTTTACGGGGAATAATGAACAAATTGGAAAAAATTGGGTTAAATATTGAAGAATCACTAAAGTTGAGAAATAAATTGGGAGACACTCCTTTAATTTATGCAGTGAAGTGGGGCGAAATAGATATGGTACGGTTCTTATTATTGCAAGGTTCTGACCTCAATTCGGTTAATTATAATTTTCAGTCTGCCATGGATATAGCAATTACAAAGAAGTATGTTAATATAATAAATGCAATTGCAGAAATGGCCCCACGCCTTGTAGAACATAAAAGAATAAATAATAAAAAAGACTCAGCAATGTATAACTGGGCTACAAACACAAAAAAAGATAATGAGTCAAAGTGCGATGCAGATTACTAGATTATTGATATTAATTTTTATCTGTTGTTCGTGTTTCGGTAAAGACAAGAAGGAACCTCTTACTCATGGTGAGAAAAACAAGCACATTAGGATGTACTTGCAAAATGTATCGACAACACAATCACCATCGAAAGCTGAGTCTAACAAGAAAGACAAGAATCCTATAAGTAACTTTTTCAGCACTCTATATAATACAAAAAATACATCTCTCAATAAAAAAGATCTTACTAAATTTCTAGAAGAGTGTCGCAAACAAGGCATACCTGAAGATTTTAATAAAGGTTTTGGATCTAACTTAAATGGCGCTGATTTTAGTCAATTGTACCTAAAAGGCTCTATTTTCTCTGGAGTAAGTTTGATAGGTGCCAACTTTTCTAATACTGACTTGTCTGATGTGTCTTTCATTAATGCAGATCTGCGCGGGGCAAATTTTTCCAATGCTAATTTATCTAACGTTAATATAAAAGATACAGATTTAAGTTTCGCAAAATTTACTTCTACTAGATTGGCAGATGTTACATTTAATAAATCTGACACTTGTTACGCTGAATTTAGAAGCTCTGACTTAAGGAGGGTAAGTATAAATGATGTAGTAGGTATACACACTGACTTCTCAAATGCAAAAATGACTTTATCTAACTTATCAAATTCAGATATTAGTTATGCAAATTTTAACAACAGTGAAATCTATAATACTGCTATACAAAAAAGCAATCTTGATTATACAAATTTTTTTAGTGTGTATGCACACAGATTAAACATTCAATTTTCCTCACTAAAAAATGCTACCATATATGGTGCAGAAATTAAAGAATCAGATTTTACAGGCAGCAATCTCAATAATGCTTACCTTGATTCTTCCACTATCATTGACAGTAACTTTAGTAGAGTTGAGCTAAGTAATGCAAAAATTTCTTATGTAAGCAGTAATTATTCAAGCTTCTGTGAAGCTATAATGAATAACGCTCAGATAAAATATTCTTATATTTCAAAGGTGAATTTTCAAGATACAGCATTACTCGGAACAGACCTTAGTTTCAGTGAGTTAAATGGAGTGAATACCTATAATGCTGACATACGTAAGGGAAATTTTTATCATACTAAAATTGCAAACTCTGATATGAACAACACGTTTTTTGATCATGCACTGTTTGATTCCACAAAACTGGAGAATATAGACCTCTCTTTATCTTCAATGCATGATGTTAAAATTAAAAACTCTCAGATATATAATAGCACGCTTTCTAAGCATAGAATTGATTCCAGTAGTATAGAAAATTCAACATTTTTTAATTTGATGGCCGATAATGCATATTGGTCTGACTTAAAAGTAACTAACTCGAACTTTATTGAAAGTGACTTCAAGTACTCTTCACTACATAACAATATCTTAAAAAAAACTAGCTTTTTCCTCAGCAATTTTGATAACTCTATCATCAGCGATGTATCTTTCCTATCATCAAGTATATACAAAAGCTCAGTTATCAATACTAATCTAATAGGCTGTAAATTCGACAATTCAATTTTTATTGAGAATACAGCACAGAACAAACTTGCAGATTTAAACGATGCTATAACTTCAGTTCAAGAGTTACAAGAGAGGATATCACAAGGAGGAAAATTTGACGTAAACTATTCCTATTTTAATTTCGATAATATGGATTTAAATAATGTTGATTTTTCTAATTCCATATTGAACGGAACTAAATTCACAAATTCTAACTTAGATAAAGCAAATTTTGAAAAAGCTGATTTGCGTCATGCTATTTTTAACAACTCTTCTCTCATTGGTACCAATTTCTCAGGTGCTAATAAACAATATACCAGTTTCTTCAAGTCTGATATTCAGTTAAAGAAGAAGAATAACCATGATTAAATAAATATCCGTTGAAAGATGACTATAAAAAACGAAGGTGTACTATTGATTTTATCATCACCATCTGGTGCTGGAAAAACCACTATATCAGAAACATTACTTAAACAATCAACTAATCTAGTTAGATCTATTTCGATAACTACACGTAAACCTCGCACTAGCGAAATAGACGGAAAAGATTATTTTTTCGTTACTGAAGAAAAATTTCATGAATTATGCAAGGCAGGCAAGATGCTTGAATATGCTAAAGTTTTTGGTAATTTCTATGGCATACCGAGAGATTTTATAGAGCAAAATCTTAAAAATGGAGTAAGTGTTTTACTAAGCATAGATTGGCAGGGAGCATTTCATTTATTTAAAATTATGCGGGAAAAAGTCGTAAGCATTTTTATACTTCCTCCTTCAATGCAGGAATTAAAATCACGCTTAGATAAACGCAATAGCGATAGCACTAGCACTATAGAGTACAGATTAACCCAGGCCCAAGAAGAAATGAGCAAATGCAACCAATATGACTATGTGATAATCAATAATACCATTGATGAAAGTGTTGAATATGCAAGTTGTATACTAAAAGCAGAGAGACTCAAAGTGCAGAGAAAAACTAATTTAAAGGAATTTATAAATAATATTAGTCTATATATTTAACTAGGATGCTTTATATGTTGCGAAAAAATCCTTAAAATATATAATAATCATTTTCAGAAAAAGCTTTATGCAGTTAATAATTATTCTCATTATTTTTCTCCTCAGTACTAACTGTACTTTTGCAAAAAATAAATCCGAATCTAATCAAATGAAGCTTAAGTATAGATGTACGTTATTAAGTGACATAAATAAGAAATTCTCACAAGGTCATTTAGCTCCGGCTTTTTACCACCATACAGGTGATATAGTTGTTGACAGAAAAGGGGTGATACATTATTATGGAAATTGGAAAAACAAAAAACTAGATCTATCTACTAATCATAAAACAATCAATAGAATGAATAGAACAGAAATTGATAACATGCATTCCGCCCTTACAATAGACAATGTATTATACATGATTGATGAAAGAGGAGAGAATGAAGGGGTTGAAAATAGAGTCAAATGGAAAAAAGAATTGCAATCTCCAATAAAGGGAAGTCCAGCATGGTTTGAAGATAAGTTAGCAGTTCTCACTATTGATAACCATTTATACGTGTTAGATGTGCAGAGTGGTGATTTAGTTTGGTCCTACCACAATGGCACTAGTGAAATGATAGGTTTGCATTCTGTATCACCTATAACTGCATATGGTATGATAATTACTCCATTTTCAAATGGAGAGTTAATTGCTTTTGATGGCAGTGGCAGAAAGTTATGGTCTTACAAATTTTCCACAACTTTATTCAATACACAATTTACAGGCATTACAACTACCCCTGAATTTAGTGATAATATATTGATAGCTACAAACAGCTCCTCTATTGTTGCTCTTGATATTAAGTCAGGAAATCCTATATGGTCAAAGCCCATGCAAGTGAAAAATATGAATGCACATGTTGTAGTTACTGCAAGTAATAAAGTTATAAAGATAAATCCGTCTAATGGTGAAGCAATATGGAGTACCAAGTTACCGATAAAAAATGGGAAACTAGTATATGGCAGTAGATATGGTAATTACTTTATTGTGAGTGATAAAGGTATGATGTTCTTATTGAATAGAGAATCTGGTATAATAGAAGAAACAGTTGCTATTCCAGAGGGTGTTTATCATCATATGACGTTTCATTCTCCTTCCGATAATTTAAGTGCATACTTTACAACTGAAAAGAAAGGTGTGTATTTTTGCAATGATATTTTGTTTGGGTAAAATATATG